TAATCATCATCATCAGCAGCATCATCATCATCATCATCAGCATCAGCATCAACATCATCAGCAGCAGCAGCATCACCATCATCATCATAATCATCATCATCATCATCAGCATCATCATCATCGTCATCATCATCATCATCATCAGCAGCATCACCATCATCGTCATCATCATCATCATCATCATCATCATAATCAGCATCATCATCATCAGCCTCACCATCATCCTCATCAGAATCATCATCAACATCTCTTCCACAATCATGATCAGCATCACCAGCATCATCAGCAGCATCATCATCAACATCATCATCAGCATCCGCATCAGCATCATCGTCATCGTCATCATCACCACCATCACCATCACCATCACCATCATCGTCATCATCATCATCACCATCATCATCAGCAGCAGCAGCACCAGCATCAGCATCAGCATCAACAGCATCATCAGCATCAGCATCATCATCACTCGCGTATAGATGCTGAATGGGCATAGGCGCTCGTCGCCGCAAGCGGACGGCCCTCGGCAGCCACCGCCGACTGCGCGGTTCATGCTGTGAAAGTTCAGGTGGGCATGCTCTTGGCAGGAGCGCGCAGTTGTCCCATCCTCGTGGTCAGGCGCTTCACGGTAGCCCGCTGGACTACACAAAGGTCGACGACGTCGTCCTTGCCGACGAGTGGAATGCACGCGATGGGCGCCACGATCGGCGGACCGCCCAAGCCCGAGATCGACTATTCCTGTTCCTGCTCGGAGAGCCGTCCGAGAACAGTGCGGGCGCGGCCGAAAGAAACCCTCGCAGGAAACCCAACCCTGAAAACCCGCGCGCAGGGTGCACCCGAGGAGAAACGCAGGGCACCCTGAACGCATCAGCTTCTTCAACGGCTGCGGGAAGTTGCCGCGCAGCGCGCGGAGCGAACAAACCCAGGATACCCTGACGAAAAGCATATGGTTTCTTGATGCGCGCCCCCACTGAATTTCTCGCTGGTCCTCGTCGCGGGGATCCCCGCGGTGCGCTTCTGCAACCTCCTCCTCCCCATCCCGGAGGTTCTTGTCTATGGGGCCTCCACCTTCCCTCCTTGCCCTTCACGCGGGGGCGCGGACTCGCCGTGGTCATGTCACTAGACACTAGACCTTCTTATCCACGCTCCTTCTCCTCCTCCTCCTCCTCCTCCTCCTCCTCCTCCTCCTCCTCCTCCACGTCCTCCTCCTCCATCTTCATCTTATGATTCGCCTCCTCCTCCTCCTCCTCCTCCTCCTCTTCCTCTTCCTCCTGCTCCTCCTCCTCCTCCTGTTCTTTCTCTTCCTCCTCCTCCTCCTCCTCCTCCGCCTCCTTCTCCTCCTCACTCGAATACAAGCACGCGTGCGCGCCCACTGCTATTCTGGCTTACAGTGTGCACGCGGTACACCATGCATGGAGGGAAAAGGACATACGCTTTGCCATCTCTCATGTTACTAGTGCCGCCACGTCAACTACCTTTTTCCCCTGCCAGCCGCAATTCCAGTTGGTAGCGGAGCTGGTGTAAGCCAGCTCTAGCGCCAATCCACGGACTGCGCAGAGTGCGAGGTGGACGCACACTCACACTTCCCCGCAACTCTTCAACGACGTCACCATCCCCTCTTTGAGCAGATTGCGTCTATGGCTGCTCTGCACATTCACAAGTAATTCGCCCCTGACACGATGAGTCCAGCGCAGACCGTGTGACTCCCTGCGAGAGCCCGGCTGCGATGGGAATCGTCAGCTGTTGGCCACGTCCAGTTGGGCATCCGCCCACGGGAGCGCCACGACGCCTCCCTGGTCGCCCCGCAACCGTCTGGTGCTGGCCACGGAACGCAGTCTCTTGCGCTGGGCCGAGTGACTGGGCCAGTACTTGGACTCGGGCTGTACACACACGTGCTGGCTTACATATTGGTGAGCACGCTGTACCTGTTTCACCGACCGTAGCACCGACGGAATGCCACAGCACAACAACAGCTGGCCTAAACTTCAAGCTGGCGTCCGCCCCTGTGCAGGCCCGAGTCCCAAGGTGCCTGCACAGCTCTGCTCGTGGCGGAGTCTCTGAGAAGGCACGCCCTTGTCGCCAACCTGATGTCGCCGATGCATGTTGTTGTCCCGGTTGTGGACCGCAACCAGCCACTCACGCATTCGACGACCGCTGCAGTCACCACGCCCAGCTGCAGCCACCACGACGGCTATACCACGCCCATTGCTTGTTAGGTTCTTCGTCTCATCCGCCCCTTCAACCAGTCTCGCAACTGCGAGCTGCCGCATGGATTATTCGTCTTATTACTAATAGTATGATGGTTCTTCCTCAAGGCGGACTTCGACGGCGACTTCACTCAAGTGTACACCGACCCTTTTCCAGGATGGGGCGTTCAAACATGCTACTGGCACCTATTGCCATCATCATAATCGTCCTCAGCATCATCATCACCATCAGCATCAACATCAGCATCACCATCATCACCACCATCATCATTAGCAGCATCATCGTCGTCATCATCATCATCAGCAGCAGCAGCGGCATCATCACCATCATCATCATCATAATCATCATTATCATCATCCTCATCATCGCAAACATCACCAACATCATCAGCTTCATCAGAAACATCAGCAGCATCATCAGCATCATCGGCAGCATCAGCATCATCAGCATCATCAGCATCACCATCAACATAATCAGCATCATCAACAGCATCATCAGCAACATCATCAGCAGCAGCATCATCACCATCATCAGCAGCATCACCATCATCATCATCATCATCAGCAGCATCAGCATCAGCATCAGCATCAGCATCAGCAGCATCATCAGCCGAAGACGCAGCAGCATCACAAATACTATCATCCTCATCATTACCCTCGCTATCATCATCAGCATCATCACCATCAGCATCAACATTTTCAGCATCCGTACTAGCAACAACATGATCATCACCATGATCAGCAACAGCATCATCAGCAGCATCACCATCATCCGCATCATCAACACCATCATCATTATCATCAGCAGCAGCATCATCAAAATCATCATCATCAACAGCATCATCATGTTCGTCATCCTCATCTCCGACATCCTCATCATCATCAGCAGCATCGTCATCATCACCAGTATCATCATCCTCATCATCACCATCATCATCACCATCAGCATCATCATCATCGTATTCAGCAAAATACACTATCATCAGAACCATCATCGGCATCATACGAATCACCAACATCAGCACCATAATAAGCATATCGGATATCGTTTTGATAATCAAAAATACTGATAATGACTCTATTTTTCATCATCGTCGTCGTCATCATCATAATCATCAGCATCATTACCATCATCAGCATCATGATAATCATCAGCAGCAACATCAGCATCATTATCATCATCATCATCATCATCATCATCATCATCATCATCGTCATCGTCATCGTCATCGTCATCATCACCCCCGTCGTGTTCCTCATGTTCCTCCTCCTCGTCAGCGTCAGCATCGTCATCATCAGCAGCATCAGCATCAGCATCAACAGCATCCTCATCAGCCGCAGAAGCAGCAGCATAACAAGTATCATCATCCTCATCATTACGCTCGCGAGCATCATCATAATCAGCATCAGCATGATCATCCTCATTATCATCATCATCATCATCACCATCATCATCATCATCAGCATCATCATCATCATCATCATCATCATCATCATCATCATCATCATCATCATCATCATCATCATTATGATCATCCTCATTCTCACCCTCATCCTCCTCCTCGTCATCGTCAGCATCGTAATCACCAGCAGCATCATCATCAGCATCAGCAGCATCATCATTAGCCGCAGAAGCAGAAGCATGACAAAGATAATCATCTTCACAATTACCCTCGCTATCATGATCATCACCAGCATCACCGTATTCAGCATCATTCCTAGCAACAGCATCATCAACATAACCATGATTAGCATCAGCATCAGCATCATCAACACAATAATCAGCATCGTCATCAGCATCATCATCATAATCATAATCATCATCAGCATCAGCATCATCATCATCAGCAGCATCATCGTCATCGTCATCATCATCCTCATCGTCAGCATCATCGCCATTATCAGCATCACCGTCATCATCAGCATCATAAACTTTGGCATCGTAATCATCATAATCATCATCAGCATCATAAGAATAATCAGGATCAGTATCATACTGAGCATACCAAATATGATATGGTTAAGAATGGCAATAATGAAAATCATGATAGTGACACCAACAGCACTAATAATAATCATCATCAGCATGAGCATCATCATCATCGTCATCATCCTCATCGTCATCACCATCGCCATTATCATCATCACCATCATCATCAGCATCATTAACTTCAGCATCCGCATCATCATAATCATCATCAGCATCATAAGAATAATCAGCATCAGCATCCGACTGAGCATACCAAATGTGATATGGTTAATAATGGCAATAATGATAATAATGATAGTGACACCAGCAGCACTAAACCATAACATCATCAGCACCACTATCATCACCAGCATCATAAGAATCATCAGCAGCATCCTCAGCATCATCATTGTCGTCATCATGATCACCCCCATCGTCTCCGTCATGTTCCTCCTCCTCGTCAGCGTCATCGTCATCATTTGCAGCATCATCATCGTCATCATCATCACCACCATCATCGTCATCATCATCATCATCATCAGCATCAGCATCAGCATCAGCATCATCATCATCATCATCATCATCATCGTCATCATCATCATCATCATCATCATCATCATCATCATCATCGTCATCATCATCGCCACCACAACCACCATCATCGTCATCATGCTCACCATCACCATCATCCGCCCACCGCACTACTCGTTCCCTTCCTCCTTCCCTCCCTCCTTTCTTCCCTCTTCCCTCCTCCTCCTCCTCCTCCTCCTCCTCCTCCTCCTCCTCCCGCGCTCCCCCCCCTGGCTGAGCCGCAAGGGGCGCGCCTGGGAGACGGGTGGCGGCTCGAGCTGTATCTTGCCCCACAGCCCTTTGTTGAAGTCCGAGATGAGCTTCTGGCAGTAGGCCGCCATGTTCTGCCAGTCCCACCTCTGAGGAGAACGTGGCATCGGCATGGGGGAGACGGGTCCTGAGGGAAGCGAGGTCCTGGACCCTGGGGCCTTACCCCAGGACGAGCTCTTCATCCTGAATCGCTCTCTGACCGTCCCGAGGCCCGTGGAGGGCCCCGAGGGCCCGAAGACGGCGAAGAACCTCAGGACCCGTTTCCCTCCGGACCCGCTGCCCCCCCCCCCGGCGAGCGCCGAGGTGGGGCAGGGGTAGGGGCAGAGGACTGGGGGAGGGAAATCGCTCTCAACGGCTCGTGGGCTCGTTCCCGAGTCCCCCCCCCCCCTGGCACGAACCCCCGAGCCTCGTGGACGCGTAGGGCCCCTCGTGCCGGACGGCCGCCGCCATGTCGACGTCGTAGAGCCTGCTCATCTCTCGCCACATGCCCTTCTCCACGCAGTGCGGGTTCTCCTGCTGCGGCGACGACGGGAGGAGGCGGAGGAGGAGGAGGAGGAGGAGGTGGAGGAGGCGGCATATCCACTGCTCCATGGCCAGGTCCATCCTGAGCTCAGCAGCGGTGTATGCGCCACGCTCTCCTGGCTTGGCCAGGAGTGCGTATACACAGCTCCTGGGCCCAGGAGAGGCCCAACGAGGGAACAGTGGATACGTATAGATTTTGTCGCCCGACCTTCGAGAGCCGCGCGAGGTGGAAGAGCAGGTCGTGGCCGCACTTCTCGAAGTCGATGACCTTATCGGAAATCAGCCTGCACATCATCATCATGGACACTTCCTCCTCGCTGTAGCGCTTGTTGAACTGCTCTGGCATCACCCCCGGCATATCGAGGAACGCGAGCTCGGTGTTCCGGAAGCCGCCGATCATATGCCAGGTCGGCGTGACCGTCTGGCCAGTAGCGCCCCCTTTCGGGGCAACCTTTCGGCCAGCGAGCGCGTTGATAACAGCAGACTTGCCCACGTTGGGGAAACCCGCCATCATGACGCGGACGGCGCGGGGATTGACGCCCTTCCGAATGCGGTGCCGGTTCACGTAGGCCCCCGCCTTGAGCAGCTCGGTCCTGAGATCCTCGACCTCCCTGCCACCCTGCCTCGCATTGACGGCAATCACTGGGATCCCTTGGTCCTCTGCCGAGGCGTTCAGGCACCGTATGGTCTCCTCCAGGGCCGCGGGAGGCACCAGGTCTGCCTTCGTCAGCACGATGACCCGTGGCTTCGGCCTGCACCACCCTGGTATGTCCGGGTGCGCGGTCACCCAAGGCATCCTCACGCAGGGCTCGACCTAAACAGTGTTTGCCGTGTTCTTGCTGAGCGGGTGAGCGTTCTTTTATTCGGCGTTTCGACATTGGACGGAAGGGGGGGAGGTCTGGCTCCGGACCTCTGCTTAGTGCGACTGTCTGCAGCAGTGGGTCCTATGAGGGGGGACTCCACCTGCTCGAAACAGGCGCCCAAAACAGCCAAGATCTACTCCATGGGGGGGGTGGGGGAGGGGGGGGGGGGGCCGGCGCCGACCGGCAAAACAATGAATAAAAAAAGATCACTTGCTGTTCTCTTGTTCCAGACTTCCGTCTTCGATCCGCCTCCGCTGCAGAACGAAACCAAAGCGAGAGCCCACGAGATCGCCCCAGATGCCGTTTGGCTCGAGCCCTGTCCTCGCGTCCCGGACTTCCACGACCACGTCGCAGCGCTTCAGGAGCTGCGGGAACATCCTGATGGCGGCACGCTGCCACCCGGTCACCCAGGTCGTTATGTGCGATGTGCTGTTGAGGCCGAGACGAATGAGTCTCTGATCGTCTACGGCCGTCATCAGATCCTCGAATTTCATCTTGGCCAGGTGCCGCCACATGTCCTCGATCCGGAGGGAGAGGGAAGGGGGGGGAAGAGGAAGTAAGAGACTGTGGGAAGGGAGGGGGGAGTGAGCGAGGAGTGAGAGAGGGGGGTGGCAAGCTAGACGCGCTCGCGTCAGATCTGACGTCCTACATCTCCCTCCCATCCCATATATTTGCGTGGAGCCCCTCTCTATTCGCATAGTCGGGCGTAGAAGAAAACATGTGTCCCGAAAGGGCATACGCTGCACAGCTCAGCATAACACCGCACAGCGCAGGCGAGCACGGTAGAGCGTAGCATGGCGTAGCATGGTGTGGCACTGCGTAGGATCCAGGGCGCGCTGCAGCGAAAGCGCCATTCTGTTGGACGGAGGCTCCATGGCAACAGAGGAATAAGGCCGCCGTTGCAGCCGGAGTCCCATCTTGGAGTACCAACACGCGGGGGCCACTCCTCCTTCTCCACCTCCTCCTCCTCCAACTCTTTTTCTCCTCCTCCTCCTCCTCCTCCTCCTCGTCATCCTCCTCCTCCTCCTCCTCCTCCTCCTCCTCCTCCTCCTCCTCCTCCTGGAGCCGGAACACCGTGGTCAAGGACCAACACTGCAAACATGAAGCACACACTGCAAACGGAACGCTATTGTGAAGCACGGGCAACTTGGAAATGAGGCCAACACTGTAAAGGGGGCACCATGTTGAAGGACTGGAGACGCGGAAATGACGCTAGCACGGCAGCGGGAACACCTTTGAGAAGGACTCAAACAGGGGAATGAGGCCAGCGTGGCAGCGGGAACACTTCGTTCAATGACTGGAAGCGCCGAAAGAGGCCAAACCTACAGCGGAAACACCAGTTTAACGAAACGAAAGTTGTGGAGATGGAGCCGATGATGCAGCGAGAACATACTTCTGGAAGGACCGAAGACGCTCGGACTGCAACAAAACACATAAGACATATCAAAGGATCCTGTGTAACATATCACGCAGAGGGCGGCATACTCTCAACACGTCTTCGCGGGAGAGGACAGCAGTACTCATCTTGTGTTTATTGTAGACGGGATGAAGGGGAGGGCCGAAAGGGAGGGATGGACGGAGGGGAGATGGGAGCGAGAGGGGAGAGGGAGGCAGAGAGAAGGAGTAGACCGAGGAGAAGGAGGAGGAGGAGGAGGAGGAGGAGGCAGAGGCGAAGGAGGAGGATCGGAAGCAGGAGGAGGAGGACGATGACGACGAGGCTGAGGATGAGAAGAAGGAGGCCGAAGAGAAGCGGGAGGAGGAGGAGGCAGAGCGTCGACAGGCACAGCTCGCTTACCGTATCGCCGACCACCCCGTGGCAGATCGGCTGCTTGCCTTGCGGAGAGAGCAACCGCTCGAGCCACCAGGCTGGAAAGTATCTGCACTGGCGATGTCCAGCTTGCATGACTGCGACCCTCGTGAAAACGGCGGGCGGCCACAACCCTGCGAAGGCTCTCCTGGTCCGAGGCGGCACGGGCGAGCTTGGGGAGAGGCTCAGCTGGGAAGGGTGATCGGCGGACCTCCGAGACCATGCGGAACACTTCACAGCGTAAACAATGCCTGAGCAGGAGGGGGAGGAGGAGGAGGAGGAGGAGGAGGAGGAGGAGGAGGAGAAGGAGGAGGAGGAGGAGAAAGGATGAGGACGAGGACGAGAAAGGAGAAGGCCTCAGGAGTAACGACTCCAGGAGCTCCCCAGGAACCCAACGTTTCGAGATTTGTGCTCACAACGTGGACCCCCGGAGGTCCGGACCCCGGCCCCGGACGGGCTTTGCGCCCTGAGTCCGGGGCCGGGAGAAGGCCACCGCAGGTCAAAAGCAGCGACGGTATTGTTTTCAACACGTTGGAGATCTGGAGGGGGGGGGGACGACGACGAAGACGACGACGAAGATGATGACGACGACAACGAAGACGACGACAACGGCAACGACGACGACGACGACGACGACGACGACGAGATTGAGCAGTGAGCAGCAGCAGGAGGAATGCCGAGGCAAGGCTACCGGCGCGGCGAGAGCCCACGAAGGCTCGGTCGGGGGCGGCGGCCCTGCTTCCACGCAACATAGCGGGAGGAGGGGGAGAAGGGAAATGAAGAAGAGGAGGAGGAGGAGGCGGAGGAGGAGGAGGAGGAGGAGGAGGAGGGGGGAGGAAGGGGAGGATGAGGAGAAGAAAGGAAGATGGGTAGGAAAACGAGAAGAAGGAGGGGAAAAAGAACGAGGAGGAGGAGGAGAAGTAGGAGGAAGAAGGAGGAGAAGAAGAAAAGAGGAGAAAAAAGGATAAGAAAAAAGGAGCAGGGGGAGGAGGAGGAGGAGGACGACGACGACGACGAGGAGGGAAAGGAGGAGGAGGAGGAGGAGGGAGGTGGAAGAGGAGGAGTGGAGGAGGAGAGGAGGAGGAGGGAGGGAGGAGGAGGAGGCAGAGGAAGAGGAGGGGCAAGAGGAGGAAGAGGATGAGGTGGAGGAGGAGGAGGAGGAGGTTAGAACGCAACAGGTACTTTTCTAAGGTCTGTTTAGCGTAAAACAAAAGGAAAAGAAGGGAGAGGAGAAAAATGAGGAGGAGGAGGAATAACGCCACAGCTACTACCTTAGGTTGGCGTAGGAAGAGGAGAAGAACGAGGAAGATGAGTAAAAGAAGGAGGAAGATGGGGAGGAGGACGAGGAGGAGGAGGAGGAAGAGGAGGAGGGGAAGGAGGAGGAGGACGAGGAGGAGGAGCAGGAGCAGTGGGGGAGGGGGACCAGAAGGATTTTGCACCGAGCGCTCCACTGAGCTCAGGAGGGGAGGGGAGGGGGAAGAAAAGCGGACGTGTTCCTTTTGTAACAAAGATGCACTCGCTCCAGCGCTTCGACCCAAATAGCACCGGGGCATCCGATGTAAGTCGGGATTGCGCGGGCGCTCGAATAGTCTTGGCGAAGTAGTGGCATCGAGAGCAAGGGAAGGCTAGAGCTGTCCAACCTCCACGCACAGCACACTCCCATTCCGCAAGCCTAGGATGCCCGGCCGCCACCTGGGGGGCGCGCCGGGCCGGCGGACTGCGTGTTCACTGACTGTACTCTGCGTGCTCACTGACTGGACTCAGCGAGCACGCACGCGCTCTTAAAAACGGCACTGGGCAAGTCACCTAAGTAAAGGCGAAGCAGCACGCCGAGTGCCACGGCGGCGCGGGAGGGCAATGCGCCGCGGTCAGAATGACCCGAAGGCGAGCCTGGAGACCAGGTTCGGCGAGGCACGAAAACAAGCCCTGCGGTGGCGAGGATGCGAAGGGGGGCCTTGGACTGGCAGATGGGAGCGGGGAAAAAGGCAGGAGTCACCTTGAGGGCGCGCGGACGCAGATGCATCGTCGCGGCTCAGTCCTTGTCCGTCGGATTCTTGTCGACGCGAAGCTCGGGTTCCTCTCCGGCCTCCGCGCCGTCGGCCGCCGCGGCCCCCGCGGAATCCGCGTCCGGGGTGGACGGCGCCTCCTCCTCGCACCCTTCTTGCGCCGCACTCTTCCTATGCAAAACAGCGCGCGCCTGGTCCCACTTGCGATTGCTCTTGGGACTTCCGCGGCGGATCCGTTTGGGGGCCCTCGCGGGCCTGGCCGTGGGCGTCCATCTCCTTGTCCTTGTCCGTGCTGCTATTGATTGCTAGACTTGCTGCCAATGCCGCTGCCCTTGCTGGCCGCGCCGCCCTCTTTGCCGAACTTCGCCTGCTGGTACTGTGCCTGGCCAAGGCTGCCTTTGGGCGCCAGGCTCCCTGTGGCGCGCCTGAAGCTGGGTCGCGGCTCCAGCTCGCGAGCGTCCACGCAGTTGTAGCTGGGGTGCTGCGAGGGCACGGCAACGTCCTGGTGTCCAGGCGCTAGCGTGGCGGAACCTTGCGGCGGACTGTGTAGCTGCGGCGGCTTGGTTCCCGGCGCTTGACCGGCTGGCTGCGACGGCCTGCTCTTCGGCTCGGGAGACCGAGAGCGCAACCAGTGGTCCTGGGCCTGGATGTCCGAGGCCAGCAGGAGATCTTGGCCGCAGCCGGGCCAAGGAGACGCGGGCGCCTGCTGCGTGCCAGGCGACACTCGCGGGCCAGCGAAGGCGCCCAGTGCGCCGCCAGGCGTTGACCGAAGACTGGAACCTTCGGACGAATGGGCTCCCCTTCGACAGTCGGGCGCAGATCTGGACCCACGTTGCGCGGCCCGCTCGCGACGCGCGCGCCGCGGCCAAACGCCGCGCGCAGCTGCGGGTCCACGCCCGCGTCGCGGAAGAGAACTAGGCGCGCCATGGGCCCCGGGAGAGCCATGCCCCCGCGCCAGTCGCAGCGGATGCACTTGTCGACCTCGGCCGCGCCGGACAGCGGCGGCGCTGGCGCTTGCGCCTTGCTCGACGCCGCGAGCCGCGGGCGCGCTGGACGAGGCGACGCCGGGGGCCGAGGAACCGAGCTGCTGCCGCGCATGGCTGGGCCGCGGCTGCGCCAGCGCGCGCGGGGCAGAAGCGAAAGCACGCGGTCGTCCTTGCGGCTGCGGCGGCGCAGCGCCACTACCAAGCCAGGGCCGCGCGGCGGAGGTAATTGGTGGCCTGGATGGTTCGCGCCACTCGCGACCTCGGGGGCGCCGTAGGCGGCGGCATCATGGGCGGCACGCCTGGTGATTTTGCCATCCGAAGAGCACCGCCAGCTGGCGCTGCTGGCGCTCTACTCTTGCGTCGCGGCGGTGGACTGGCGCTCGAATCCGATGAAGGGGAAGCCCGTCGCCTGGGCGAGGCGGCGGCCTTCCCGAGCGGCGCGGCCGCGCGCGCAGCCGTCTCGGGCGCGCGCGCGGGCCCCGCGACCAGCTGGCGCAGGCGCGCTGGCTGGCGCCCTGCGCCGCGCGCGCGGCCCGCACGCTGAACAAGCAAACAACCACGGATGCCACACGCACGCACATGCCCACGTACACACACACACACACACACACACACACACACACACACACACACACACACACACACACACACACACGCACACACACGCACACACACACACACACACACACATCGCATCGCGAACTACCGCGCATGCCATG